GGAAAGATTAAAGAAGACAAAAATTGTTGTCTCTAAAGGAAAAGATCCATTAATTTGGCTACAGTAACATTAAGAATTTTGACCTTTATCTTACACCACATACAAAAAGCAACTCAAAATGGAAGACTTAAACGAAATCATAAAACTTCTAGAAAGAAATAGGGGAAGCTTTATAACATTGACTTTGGCAGTGATTTCTTGGATATGACACCAAAAGCACAGACAATAAAAGCAAAAATGTGGGATGTTTTTGTCCCAGGCGTGTGGGACAAGCTCAAACAGCAAAAGAAACAGTCAACAGAGTGAAAAGGCAATGAGAGAAAATATTTACAAACAATAAGTCTGATAAGGGATTAGTATCCAAAGTATATGGGGAACTCCTGCAACTCAACAGCAAAAAATACTGATTCAAAAATGAGTAAAATATTTTAATAGACATTTTTCCAAAAATATACAAATGGCCAACTGGAATATGAAAAGACACTGAGGATCACTAATCATCTTGCAAATGAGATCAAAATCACAAGGTATCACCACACAACTGTTAGGATGGCCAATATTTAAAAAGCGAACAAAGAACCCAGAAAATAGCAAGTGCCGGGGATAGGTATGGAGAAATTGGAACCATGTGCATTGTTGATGGAATATAAAATGGTGTAGCTTGCTATGGAAACCATAAGGAGGGAGGTTCTTCAAAAAAAATTTGAAAAGGAACTATCATATAATCTAGCATTCTTTCCTGGATATTAATCCAAAAGAATTGAAATCTGGATCTCGACAAGATATTTGCACTCTCGTGTTCATTGCAGCATTATGCACAGTTCAAGAGGTCGAAACATCTAAATGTCCATTGATAGATGAATGGATAATGTAAATGATATATTCATACAGTAGAGTATTATTTAGCCCTATCATAGGAAATCCTATCATATGCTATAACATAGATAACTCTGAGGGCATTATGCAGAGTGAAATGAGCCAGTCATAGAAGGAGAAATATTGCATGATTCCACTTATATGAGATATCTAAAGTAGTCAAATTCCTAGAAAGAGAAAGTAGAATGGTAGTTGCTAGGGGTTGGGAAGACCATGAAATAGAGAGTTGCTATTTAATGAGTATAGAGTTTCAGTCATGCATGATGAAAAAGTTCTAGAGATTTCCTGTAAAACGATCTGCATATAGTTAATAGTGCTGTTATGTGTACCATACACCTAAAAATTAGTTAAGAACATAGGTTTCATGTTGTATGTTTTGTCCCACAAAAAATTAAGAACTTTCATTTATCAAAAGATACTTTAAAGAATGTGAAAAGACAAATTAAAGACCTTAAGAAGATAATTTCACACAATCTAAATATAATTTGTATTAAGAATAAAAGATTCCTCAAACTAATAAGAAAAATACAAATAACAGAAAAATGGGCAAAAGTTATAAATGGACATACTACAGAAGAGGCAATACATACTGGTAATAAAAATGTGAAGAGAAGTTCAGCATCATTAATCAAGGGAATGGAAATCAAGAGTATAATAAAATAGCACTTAACACATTTGGTGAAAAAATTAAAAATTGTGGTAATAATAAGTATATATTGATCTATTATCTCCTGACTTGGCTGTTGCCCTAATCCTTTTACTAAAGCTTCTCCATTCATCACTTGGTTGAGTAGATTTTGTCATTAATTAACTTTCATTTCTTCCCTCAAGTATTGTTTGATTCTTTATGTTTGAGAATGTTTGCCATTTATACTTGAATTCCACCTTGGTGAAGTATAGGAAATCATTAATACTAACTTAAGTGGAATACAGACTGCAGAAAAAGTATAGAAAAGGAATTTCATAGGGAGTTGAAGAAGGCTCTTTTTTTAGAACATTTATTTATGAGATGTCCTAAGGTTACAGCAGAGCCAAAGGGTTGTTAAATAGTCATCTCTCCCACTAGTCCATGTGCTCCCTAAAAAAGTACCTGCCACACAGAAGAGTGGAAAGATACAAAGAAAAAAGATAAGTATATTGATAGTACTGTAGAGAATTTAAAGCATTGTAGAATTCATTATGAGTACTAGACAACCCACTAAGATTATTGCTTCCCATTTTTTCTCCATCTACTCCGAAAACTGTAGTTATGTTGTCCATTTTTTCCCACATTTTTCAGATCTCATTGTACTTAGATATATGTTATGCTCTTAGGAGATTGTCGATATAACTTATTTTTCTAAAAAAATATATGTTAAATAATAAAGTCCAATAACCTTAATTCTTGGTTCTAAGAAGTTACATCTAAATTTCTGGCTTTTTTCCTTTCTAAATAATTGCTAGAAATATATCAGTTTTTCTGGCTTGAATTTCAGGTGAACATATTCAGGTTTCCAATTTTGCTGGATGGGTGTCGAAGAACTGTAGGCCTTTTTATTCTTCTTCTGGAGGAGAATGAGTATACTTGTATTCGAGCATATATGTATTATTTTTTCACTTAAAAGAGCTGTGTTCATGTAAATGACTGTTAGAAGTATGTTCTTAGATTTGAAGATTCTACATAAATTTCAGGAATTAAAAAATTTTTATTGTGTAAATTTTTCTATATACAGAAAAATACAGAACAGTGAAATACTTATGGCATACTTATCACCTAAACTTAACAGATTCTTAACATTTTAGTATATTTTTTCTGAAGTAGCTATGATAACATTTTAGCCCTTAATACTTCAGTATGACTCTTTTAAAAAACACTTTTTACAGAACCATTATACCTTTATTTCATCAAAATCAATAATAATTTTTTAATATTATTATTTTCTAGTATCCAGCCTATGTTCAGAGTTCTTTAGTTACCCACAAACTGGCTTTTTAAAGATTGTTTACTGAACCAGGATGCATTTGGTTGTTGACTGTCATAGATTCCTTTGTTCTAGAACAGTTCCCCACCTCCCACCACCTTTTTCCTCTCTTTTTCCTTATCGAAGAAATCAAGACCACAGTTCTATAGACTATTACACCTTCTGTTTCGTGGCATCCTTTACCATGTTAATGTTACTTTAGTCTCAGAATTTCCTGTAAAATTGAAATTAGAGCTAAAGGATTGTTTAGATTCAGATTAAAAATTTTTTCCCCCCAAATACATCATAGATGATGCTGTATACTTAATTTTGTGTCACAAAATCTATTTGTTCAGCTCATAATAATCTAAAATTGATCAATATGTTCAGGTTCTAGAATTGTTTGTTTTTAAAGTGGAATATATTTACTGAGGTAATGTGAAATTTTTGAGAAAATACTTTCATAACTCTAATGCTGGTTTTTGTGGAGTGTTCTTCATATTCCTCAAAGTACTTAATAGAGCATTCAATAAATAAATATTGATTTGTGTTTTAAAGTTTTTTACATATGTATTTTATTTAGGCTTGTTTTCCCTTTCCTGCATGAAAAGATAAGACAGCTTTCTTTTTTCACTCTAGATTTTCAGCTACTGATGTCAGAAACAATAAAAAATTGGAGCACAGAGTTGAGGAAAAGACTCAAGACAGGTATGTAAATAATAAAAATCTAAAGAAACAACAAAATTACCATTCATTTTTATAAAGTCATTATTGGGATAATTGACAAAATTGGGATATGAACTGTAGGTAGAGTACTGTCAGAATTCAGTTTTCTCAATTTGATAGTTGTACTTTGATTATATCACAGAATATTCTGAGATATTTAGGATGAAGAGGCATGATGTGTACAACCTACTTTCAAATGGTTCAGAAAAAGTAAATGATAGGTCATGTGAGAGAGAGTTTGGTAAAGTGTGGATTAATAGGAACTCATATATTGCCAGTGAAAGTATAAATTGGTTCAGCCCTCTGGGAAAGCATTTTGTCTCAAGTTTTTAGTTTAGCCAGCAATCTCACTTTTTCTCCTAGAGTAATTATAGAAAGACTGCAAAAAGATTTATGTGTAAGGATATTTATATGAGAATATATGACGTGAATGAAAGAATTAATGAAAAATTGGCAATAACCTAATTAACAATATGAGACTGAGTAAATAAAATTAAAAACTGTTTAAATATTACAAATGATAATGTAAGTCTATATTTATTGGCACAGTGTCTAAAATATTTTTAAGTATCAAAGCTGACTACAAAACTATAGGACCAGTATAACCTATTTTTATTTTTCAGAAAAAAATGCATGTATACAAATACATAAATGTTTATATGTATATGTATATATAATATACACATAAACAACATTTGCATATTTATATATGTGGTTGTATGTACATAGACATTTGGAAAATGACACCTGTATGTTGCCAATGGTTAATTTTGAATAGCAAGTTTATGTGATTTTTATTCTTTTTTATGTTAATTGACTTTTTAGAAAGAGTATATTTTGCTTTTCTCACCAAATTTTTCTAAGATAATGCTTCTTATGGAAGTTATGTTTTTTTAAATTTTATACCTTTGCAATAATTTTTTGGTATGCTATAAAAATAATGCTATATTTGCTGATAACTCCATACAAGTTTAGCATATCTGAGTAGTTCTTAAGAGGCTATATTCACAGATTCTTAGCCAAGATCAGCTACTTTTTTTCTGTTACATAGCCAGAGTCTGTTTTCTTAATGCTCTATTAAAGGTCTAAAAAATGTGATGCTGCTTACACAGCTTAGCTGAAGTACATTATTAATTATGGCAAATCAGAAGGCATGTTCTATTAATGGCTCTTGTGTGGTGCCCTTGTGTATAGAACTTGTATATTTACTTTTGATAGTGGATATAACATGTGCTTTGATGTTAATACTGATTATTGTTCTTATAGTTTATTTAATTTTTAGCAGTCAATTTTGAGGGCATTTTCCATTAAAATTTTACGTTTTGCTTTTATTTAACAGATTTTTCTTCAGTTAGTTAAAAATATGGATCCTGAAGCAGGGGGACCACAGATTATCAAAGTGACACCTCTTCAACAAATGCTTGCCTCTTGTACTGGAGCTATACTGACATCACTAATGGGTAAAATAATGTCATTGATACAGATTATGTAACTGAATGAATCAGTGAATCTGTTTGAGTTTCACCATCTGTGAAATAATGGTATTATTATTTACCCTTTATAAATGATACTTTCCCGTCATCAGTATGATAACATGAAAAGAACCCTGGATAGAGAATTAAGAGACTTGAATTTTAGTTCTCACTTTGTCATTCTCAGGGTGAATGCACTTTGGGATTGGCTCTACTCCTCGTTGAGCTTCATTTTTCATCTGTAAAATTGGGGGCTTATGCTAAGAGTTCTTTGTGGTTCCTATCAGTATTAAACTTTTATAACTCTATTATCCTTTTTTTAAAATAGAAAGCAATAAAATATCAACATAATGACTAATACAGAATTTGGGCAATTTAAAGTAGCAACAAATACAAGTTATGTTTTACTCTTGCTTGCATCAATGGCGAATTTCGTAAATTTCTCTGGTCCACATTTTTCTGTTTTTTTTTTTTTTTTAGTCAGTTTCTTATAGATACTCTTAGCCAAATGACATAGGTGATAATTTAGTATTTTAACGATTTTACATTAGCTAGTTTATTTAAACAAGATAGCAGATAACTTGAACAAACTATTGCCTTAGTATGCAGTCCGTTTCTTCAGGTCAGAATGTTAGAGTTGTAAAGGCCTTAGAGATCATCCAGTATGACCTTATTCTCAGATGAGGAAAAGTGTTCTTAGTACCATTATTTGGCATTTTTTTCTACTTGGACAAAATACAGCATGAAAATTAAAACCATTCTCCTTTGCCGTGCTGTTCCCAAATGGAATAACACAACCTCGTGGTAAAGATGATTTATGGCCAGTTTACTCATATTTACATTACCTTTAGGTTTTATTTGATGCAGGTGAATTTAATAGCTTAGAAAGACTAATATTATTTGATTACTGATTACTTATAGGATTATTCTCAAATATTTAAATAGATTTTTGGACTAGTAATTTAGTTTTAATGTTAATGGAATTATAGTTGCAAATGACATGTTATAAGACTTGTGAAAGAAGTAATTACATTGTCTTAGTAATCCTCTTCAAACAAAATTCAAGGGCAACAAATAGAATGTTATATTCAAAACCACTTTAAGATAAATAATCTTACCCATTGTACGATTCAATGTATTTTGTGTTCTTTGGACATACATCTCTAAATTCACATGTGTCACTTCTTAATTGAAATTTACATATCTTCATAGTGACACCCCTGGATGTTGTTAAAATTCGACTCCAAGCCCAAAACAGCCCATTTTCCAAAGGTATGTACTAGTTATCCTAAAAGTGTTGTTACATTTTTAAATGTTACCGCATTCATTTATATTTGAATAATTCTTTTTGTCAGTTTTTAAAAATTGATTCTTCTTTATCCTCATGCAGAAACAGTTTTTCATCACTTAGTTGCACATAATGAAATCTATATAGAAAACAAATATGTATATATAACACTGTTATGAACCTACTAATTATGGCAGAGGATGATTTTATATTTGGGTATGTGTCTTATAAGTAAGAACAGAATTGTACTTGTAACTGACTTGAGAATTTAGCTTCCTCCTTAGTCTAAGAGTGTGCCGATCCCAGAACATCAACAGTCATCCAACTGTTGCTTGAATACAACGATAGGAAATTTATTTATCTTATAAGGCCACTTGATTAATCGCTAGATAGTATAGTTTATTTGGAATTCAAGAAGAGTAATTATGTATTTTTATTAGATGGGCAAAAATAGCAATTCCTTGATCAATTTTTATAGTTTTATAAATATAATGGCACTTCAGAACATGTTTAAATAGCAGAAAACTGCCTGGACTATGAGGATTTGGCTCACACATAAATGTCGCTCTGTTGAACACATATCAGTGAGATGAAATGAACAACTGGCATAATTCAGATGAATGACAGGGTAGATGGATTGTAGGAAGACACTAAAAAGTAAGCTCATTTCCTGCACATTAAAAGCAGGAGGCACTTGAGTTATGTATTATGAAACTCACAGAATTATATATGGTCAAACAGAGATGATAATTTTGGCATAAGAATGAGTCCAGTAATGGGAAGGAGTCTGTTAGAGAAAGTGGTAAATTATACAGGAGGTGACGAATGTCTAAACTGAGTAGTGTAAATACAGAAAAAGGGACAGAGCATAACATTTACATTGATGGAGAAGCACATTTTTTTATTATTATTTTAATTGAGAAACAATTGACATAAATATTGCATTAGTTTTAGGTATGCAGCATGATGATTTGGTACATGTATATGTTGCAAAATGGTCACCATGATAAGTTTAGACAACACATCCATCACCTCACATAGTTAAGAAATTTGTTTTTTCTTGTCATGAGAACTTTTGAGATCTACTCTCTTAGCAACTTTGCAGATATACTTTAGATTTCATAATATATGTTTCTCTGCATTTCCCCTTCACACCACAGTTTTCTTGTGGTCAAATAGAGAAGACACACACACCCATGTTCTCTTTTCATAACAGGTTTTCCTTCTTTATCTTTCCTCTCCATTCCCTCAGATAACTGAAAAGAATTTATTTTTGTGTGCATTTGCTTACTACAGTTCTGAAAGCATAAAATCCACTAATTTATGCTATTACTTTATACAACTGTGAATTTAGATCCCAGAGTTATGTCATTAAGCAAATCAAATAAGTACATTTCATCCTAAAAGGTGAGGACAAGGTTATATCTCCTTATAATTTTCTAGTCCCCTCATTGTAATTTCAATTTGTTCATCAGGAAAAATAACAAATTTTTGTGAAGTAGTTGTTGACTGTCAGAATCTTCTTTGTTAGGAAAATGTTTTGTATATAGTAATGGACTTATGGATCACCTATGTGTCTGTGAAGAAGAAGGCAGCAGAGCGTGGTATAAGAAGCCAGGATGTTTTCAGGGAACATTGGTAAGGAGATTATATTATAATCACGGTATATTTTTATTTATATGTTTACTCTTATGTATGAAAGGTTTTTCAAATTGTAGGAAAGTAAAATTTCATCATATGGTTCACACACTTATCCACAAGTAAAAAGATATTGAAATAGGAAAAGGGAAGTACTTCTTTGCTTTTAACTCTATTAATTTTCCTTTCATCTGTTCATGCTTTCTTATGTAGAAAGAATAAAAGAGAGTAAACTTTTTAAATTAAATTTTTGTATTTTAGATAATTGTAAATTATGTGCAATTTTAAGAAAAATGTACAGATAGATCTTATGTACCCTTTTCCCAGTTTCCCCCAAATGGTAACATTGCAAAACAAGTACAATATCACAACTAGGATATCAACATGGGTACAGTTAAGATATAGAGCAATTCCATCACCACAAGGATCCCTCTATTTCCTCTTACAGTCACACCCATTTCCTTTGTACACTCCCTTGCTTTTTTGTTGTTATCTCTGGCAACTATGTGCTTTTTCTATGGTAGATGATCACTGTTATTGTTGCAAGGTTTAAAACCTTATTCACTGTGACTATTCATTTTCCTGCTTAGAGTTTTAATTTAATTTTATTATTATTTTTTAATTAATATTTTTATGGTGGCATTGGTTAACAAAATCCAGTAAGTTTCAGCTGTACACTTTAACAGTAAAGCATATATATACATTTACGCTATGTGTTCACCTCCTATAGTTAGATTTCTTTCTGTCACCATATATTGACCCCCTCTCCCTTCTTAATTCCTGGCAACTACTAGTTTGTTCTCCATTTATATAATTTAGTAATTTCAAGAATTTTATACAAATGGAATTATAACATATATAATACATCAAGGTTGGCACTTTCTGCTTAGCATAATTATGTGGAGGTTCATCTAAATTGTTGCATTATCAATAGTTTGTTCATTTTTATTGCTCAGCAGTATTTTTTGATATGGATATACGACATTTTGTTTCCTGGATGTGTTCCAGCTGCTACATATCTTGATGTACAGATTTTTGTGTGAAAGTGTTAAAAAGAAAACTACTCACTGTTTTTCTCTCTGAACACTGCTTACAATACTTCTGAACCAGATGTGGGTTTTTTTCCCTCACACTGAGCAATTCTCCATTTCTTCATGGACACCTACTAGGTATCCTAGAATTTAACTCAATTCTGACATTATGTACCTGAGTTAGCATCAGATTCCAAGGTTAAGGGCTCAGTCTCACAAGATTGCTTCTACTTCAGATGCCATTTACAAGTCCAAGTTGTCACCTGTGTTTCTGACCGATTGACTATAAATTGAAGTTCCTATGACTCCCTCCTTGGGTTTGAAAATTTGCTAGAATGGTTCACAGAACTCAGGAAATAGTTTTACTTACTAGATTACCAGTTTATTGTGCAAGTATACAATTCGGGAAGAGCAGAGTAGAAGAGATACATAGGGCAAGGCTTGGGGGAAGGGATTTGGTGCTTCCATTCCCTCTCCAAGTGTGCTGCTGTCCCAGCACCTCCATGTGGTCACCATCCTAACAACTTCCAATCTCCATACTTTAGGGATTTTTATGGAGGCTTTATTATGTGTGATTGATTAAGTCACTGGCCATTGGGGATTGATTCAGCTTCCAGTCCTTCTCCCTCCCCCAGGGCCCGTGAGGTTGGAGAGTAGGGTAGAGTAGGGGAATGGGGCTGAAAGTTCCAAGCTCTACAGGCATACATAGTTTTATATGTTTTGCTTGATGGTGCTTCCCAGATACTGGATTTTTTTTTTTTTTTTTTCAAATTGAAGGTTTGTGATAGCCCTGTGTAAAGCAAGTCTGTTGGTGCCATTTTATAACAGAATTTACTCACTTTGTGTGTCTGTCACATTTTGGTAGTTCTTGCAGTTTTCCATACTTTCTCATTATTTTTATATTTGTTATGGTGATCTATGATCAGCGATCTTTGATGTTACTATTATATTGTTTTGAGGTGCCACAAATCATGAGACAGCGAACTTAATCGTGTGTGTTCTGGCTGCTCCCTTGATCAGCCGTTCTCCATCCCATTTCCCCTCCTCAGATGTCCCTATTAGCTGAAACACAACAATAATGAAATTAGGCCAGTTAATAGCCCTTTGGTAGCCTTCATATGTTCAAGTGAAAGGAAGAGTTGCATGTCTCACTTTAACTCAAAAGTTAGGAATGATTACGCTTGGTGAGGAAGGCATGTCGAAAGCTGAGATAGGCTGGGAGTTAGGCCTCTTGTGCCTGGTAGCCAAGTTGTGAATGCAAAGGAAAAGCTTTTGAAGGAAATTAAGCGTGCTATTTCAGTGAACACACCAATGATAAGAAGGTGAAACAGACAATTGCTGATAGGGAGAAAGTTTTAGTGGTCTGGATAGAGAATCAAACATTCTCTTAAGTCAGCCTAATCCAGAGGAAGGCTTGGATAGAGAATCAAACTATCCACAACATTCTCTTAAGTCAGCCTAATCCAGAGGAAGGCCCTAATTCTCTTCTATTCTGTGAAAAGTGAGGAATCTACAGAAGGAAAATTTGAAGCTGGCTGAGGTTGGTTCATAAGATTTAAGGAAAGAAGTAGTCTTTATAAAATAAATGTGCACGGTGAAGCAGCAAGTGCTGATGTAGGATCTGCAGCAAGTTATCCAGAAGATCTGGCTAAGATGATTAATGAAGGTAGCTACACTAAACCACAGATTTTACACTAGACGAAACAGCCTTGTATTGGAAGATGCCATCTAGGACTTTCATAGCTAGAGAGGAGAAGTCAATGCCTGGCCTCAAAGCTTCAAAGGACAGGCTGTGTTGTTAGGGGCTATTGTGGCTGGTGATTTTAAATTGAAGTCGGTGCTTGTTTACTATTTTGAAAATCCTAGGGCCCTTAAGAATTTCACAGATTTTGCACTAGATGAAACAGCCTTGTATTGGAAGATGCCATCCAGGACTTTCATAGCTAGAGAGGAGAAGTCAATGCCTGGCCTCAAAGCTTCAAAGGACAGGCTGTGTTGTTAGGGGCTATTGTAGCTGGTGATTTTAAATTGAAGTCAGTGCTTGTTTACTATTTTGAAAATCCTAGGGCCCTTAAGAATTATGCTCAGTCTATGCTGCCTGTGCGCTATAAATGGAACAACAAAGCCTGGATGACAGCATCTCTGTTTGTAACATGGTTTACTGAATATTTTAGCCCTTTTTGAGACCTACTGCTCAGGAAAAAAGATTCTTTTCAAAATATTACTGCTCATTTGCAGTGCACTTGGTCACCCAAGAGCTCTGATGGAGATGGACAACGAGATTGATATTTCCATGCCTTCTAACACAACATCCATTCTGCAGCCCATCGACCAAGGAGCAGTTTTGACTTTCATGTCTTATTATTTAAGAAATACATTTCATAAGGCTATAGCTTCCATAGATAGTGAGTCCTCTGATGGACATGGGCAAAGTCAATTGAAAACCTGGAAAGGATTCCCTGTTCTAGATACCATTAAGAACAGTCATGATTATCAACATCAATAGGAGTTTGGAAGAAGTTAATTCCAGCCTTCTTAGATGACTTTGAGGGTTTCAAGCCTTGAGTGGAGGAAGTAACTGTAGATGTGGTGGAAACAGCAAGAGAATTAGAAGTGGAGCCTGAAGATGTGACTGAATTGCTGCAATCTCATGATAAAACTTGAACAGATGAGGAGTTGCTTCTTATGAGCAGAGAAGGTGGTTTTTTGTGATGGAATATTCCTGGTGAAGATGCTGTGAAGACTGTTGAAATGACAACAAAACAAAGGATTTAGAATATTACATAAACTTAGTTAATATAGTATAGTTTGAGAGGATTAACTCCAATTTTGAAAGAAGTTATACTGCGAGTATAATATTATCAAACAGCATCACATGCTACCGAGAAATTGTTCGTGAAAGGAAGAATCAATTAATGCGGCAAACTTCACTGCTGTCTTATTTTAAGAAATTGCCACAGCCACCCCAGCCTTCAGCAATTACCACCCTGATCAGTCAGCAGCCATCAACATCAAGGCAAGGCACTCCACCAGCCAAAAGATTACGGCTTGCTGAAGGCTCAGCTGATGATTAGCATTAGCAATAACGTATTTTTTTAATTAAAGTACATACATTTTTTGGACATAATAGACTACAGAGTAGTGTAAACCTGTTTGTACACTGGGAAACCAAAATTTTTGTGACTGTATTGCGATACTCACTTTATTGCAGTGGTCTGGAACTGAACTTGAAATATCTCTGAGGTGTGCCTGTAATTACTTGGTTCCCCTGGCAACCAGCCCCCTCCCCCCATCTTATGGTTATCTAGGGGCTTTCCAAAAATCCCTTCATTAACATAAACTCTGATGTGGTCGAAAGGGGCTTTTTATTAATTAACAAAATACACTCCTTTCACCTTTATCTGGAGCTATTTCAGGATTGAGGACAAAACACCAAATATTATAACAAAAGAAGCTTCCATTGCTCTTTATTACTTAGGAAATGATAAGATTTGGTGTGCTCTGTGTCACAAACCAGGGACAAAGACCAAAAGATCTATTTCTTATTATAAATCATAATATCACTATAAGTCTTTCTGTGGGATAAGTGCTCATGACTTATCCTGGCAGTTGCTGGATCATATGGTAGTTTCATGTTTAGGGTTTGTTAGTATAAGAATGTCCAAGCCTAGAGAAACTTTTTGTAAGAGTTTATTAGAGTTTATTTGAGCCAAACAGAGGATACGCCTGGAAGGAACATCTTAACAGAGAAAAATGCTTCTCAGAGTGACAGTTTGTTGTTTCTTTTATGCATTTAGAATTGAGAGAAGTAAGGAAGATTACATGAAGGTGGGAGACAGCAAGGTGGGGATCGGATTATAGGATAGTTAAGGTTATGAGCCCTCCGGAATGTGGTTACATTTATTTCAATTTAGATATGTTAGTCTAGATACACAAAAACAATGGATGGTTTGCTTAAGGCAAAGAGTTACATGCTTGGGGCTTGACCTGCCCAGTTAGAAATTTTTGATCCAATCACCCTGTGAGGTTACTTTCTGTTGAATCCTCTTTGGTCCACACCGGATAGAGCTCAAAGTCCAGGTCCCCCACTCAGCCTCCACTGACACACTGTGGGGGAGTACCTCTTTACTGTTGGACAGGTGCAATGGTCTAAATGTTTGTGTGACCTCTTCCCCTCTGCTCCCCAAATTCATATGTTGAAATCCTGATTCCTGGTATGATGGTATTAGTAGGTGTGGCCTTTGGGTGGTGATTAGGTCATGAGGGTAGAGACCTCATGAATGAGATTAATGGCCTTATAAAAGAGATTCCAGAGAGCTGTCTTGCCTCTTTCGCCATGTGAGGGTACAGTGAGAAGGCCCTCGAGTGACCTTGCTGGCACTGTGATCTTGGACTTGGATTTTGGACTAAGCTGTCAATATAAATTGATAATGTTTTCATTATCAATCAATGGAAATATTTTCTAATTTCTCTCATAATTTCTTTTGCCTTGGATTACTTAGATGTATAATACTTATTTTCCCAATAATTGGAATTTTTTGTAGATATCTTATTGTTCTTGGTTGTCAGTTTAATTCCAATGTGGTCAGAGAACATACTTTGTAAGTTTTAAGGGTTTTTTTTGTTTGTTTTTTGTTTTAATTTGGTGAGTTGGTGAATGGCCCTACAGATGATCTGTCTTGGTGAATATTTTATATGCACTTATTAATTTTTTTTCTTATAAACAACAGAAGTTTATTTCTCACAGTTCTGGAAGCCAGAAGTCTGAGATCAGGTTGCCAGCAAGGTTGAGTGAGGGCCCTCTTCCAGATTAAAGATTTCTTGCCATGTCCTTACATATAGAAGGGCATCTTGTATGCACTTTAAAACCTTTATTCTGCAATTGTTTCTTACTGATTTTTTTTGTTTTATCAATCACTAATAGAGGATGTAAAAATCTTTCGTTATGATTAAACATTTATCTGCTTTCATTTGAGTCCTGTCAGGTTTGCTTCAGGGTTTTGAAACCACTGTTATTGGAGACATACACTTTCATACCTGATTTGTTTTTATTATAATGAATGTCTTTATCACTGGTAATGTACATTATCTTGAGGTATTATCTAATAGTAATAATAACCATTTCAGCTTTCTCTTTATATGGTATATCTTTTTCCATTCTTTTACTCAAAAACAGCATGTAGTCAGGCCTCATTCTTTTACCTTCTCTGATAGTGTCTGACTTTTAATTGAAATATTTAATTCTTACCTTTAATGTAATTCTCAATATGGTTGGTTGTTAGTCTACATCTTATATGTTTCTTCTAGTTTCTCCCTCTCCCTGCCCCCTTTTGTGCCTTCTTTTGGATTAGTTGAATTATGATAACGTTGCATTGATTCTTCTACATGTAGTCCCATTTCTAGGAGATAATTCTCCAAGGTGTTTCGTATTACTGTACATCTTTTGAGCAAGTTACTGAATGCCCTTTTTGCCTGACCATCTTTTCAAGGATGTTCATATAGTGAATAACCTTGGAAGATACAGTGTTTCCTCCTAGAACAATGGGAAGGCATCCTTCCTGCCCGTTATAAAAGATTTAGGGTTCCTAAGCTCAGATTTCCTGTCCTTTAATGCAGTCCACTGTGTGTACCAGTGTCATCTAGCCTGTCTCACATTGCCTTATGGAAATTGGGTCTTGGAGAATTGGCACAAAAATGTGATACTCTGGCTGCTACTGTTTCTTAATAAACTGTCTTCATCTCTTACCTCAGAAATTCTTGTGTTCTGCCAGCTCTCATGATACCATGGCAGGCTAATTTGTTAACTTGCAAGTAGGGTAAAATCTCAAGATCCTTCACTATTCTTTATACTATTCACTCCTTCCTCTTCCTTTGTTCTGTTCTTCATATGTAATATATCTTCGTGCATTATAAATTCCACAATTCAGTGTTATATTTTTATTTAACTAATATTATATCTTTTAAAGTAGTTAAAAGAAGAAAAGGGAAAACTACGTTTTATATTTACCCACATAGTTACCATTTTTTGTACTTCCTTTTTGAAGATCTTAGTTATTATTTGGCATGTTGGCCCTTCATTCCAAAGAACTTTTTTCTAGCATTCTTTTAATGCAGGTATTTTGGCAACGTATTCTCTATTTTTGTTCATCAGCTATTGTCTTAATTGAGCCCCATTTTTAAAGCGTATTTTGGCTGCATATAGAATTCTGACTTAATGTTTTTTTCAGCACCTTAAATATGACATTGCGTTGGCTTTTGGCTTCCCATGTGTCTGATGAGTAGTTAGTTTTCATTTTGTATCATCCTTTCTCTAAATGTATTTCGTCATTTTTTTTTCCTTTTTTGTTTTTAATTTAGCATGGGATTTTTTGAGGTTTGAGGCTCTGTAAATTGCCATCTTTCAATAATTGCGGAAGTTTTTTGCTGTTACTTCATCAGGTAATTTCCTGTACCATTCTTGCTCCTTTCATCTTTGGCTTCAAATAAACCTATGTTATACTACTTGATGTTTTCCCTTGGGCCCCTGAGCTCCTATTCATTTTTGCTTCTTTTTCTACACTTTCTCCGGATTGAATAAGATCTGTCTTTAAGTCCGGTGATTCTTCATTTGCTATCTCTATTCTGCTGTGAAGCCCCCTTAGTAAGTTTTTCATTTCAGGTTTAGAATTTTTATTTAGCTGTTTTTTATAGTAATTATTTCTTTCTGAAATTCTAAATTTGTTTATTATGCATATATCATCTTCTGAGTTCTTGAAAATATTTATAATGGCTTCTTTAGAGTTCTTGTCTGCTAATTGTATCATCTGAATCATCTTTTTTGGTTTCTATTGACTGTTTTTTCTTTGAGTATGAGCACATTTTCTTGTTTCTTTTTGTGTCTAATGAATTTTAATTGGATAGTGGACATTATGAACACTTATTGTAATGACTGGATTCTTTTATATGTTTCCGAAGAATCAATTTCGTTCTAGAAGGCAGTTAATTTTAGCTGGATACAAACTCCAAACTCATGCTCCCCTGGGAGAGGGGTGGTGCTGCAGGACCATGTTTTTGCATAATTTGTATTGAGCCAAGTTTTGTGGCAGATAGAGTATGCAAATTTGGGGGCTTATGCCCTTTGTAGTGCTTTCCTTTCCATGATTTCCCCCCTAACTTTCTGATTATTCTTCCAGTTTGGACTTTGTGTTTGCCATCTCAAGCAAATGTGCTTTTTGCCACTCTCACACTCTCTCATTTATCTACATAAATCTGAAAAGCTTACATGTTAGAAACAACCACTTGAGAGAATCAAATTACCACTCATTATTAGTATAAACTTTTTGTATCTCAGGTTCAGGGATATATTATGACTACATTTTTCTATTATAATTTTAGGATGCCTTTTGGAAAATCATTCGCAATGAGGGCATTAAATCCCTGTGGAGTGGCCTTCCCCCTACCTTGTAAGTTGAAATTAATATTTTTCTTACTAAATGATAGTGGCTGTTTTTATAATCGGCATGATTAGACAAAATTGTGCATTTTTGATATTTGAACTTTTTTATTTTCGAAAGCATTTTTTTATGAGTCCCACAACCATGCATACATCTGATGACTTGCTAGGACTCACAGAACCTAAAGAAGGTTATATACTCATATCTGTAGTTTATTACAGCAAAAAGATACAAAGCATAATCAGTAAGGGGAAAAGACACATGAGAAGTTGATCAAACAATAGGCTCCAGAGTCTCCCCTCTTGACATTGCACAGGATGTTCTTATTCTTTCAGTACGGAGCTATAGCAGCATGTGCAAAGTATTTCTACCTTAAAGCGTACTTGAATTCTAGAGTCTAGGGCTTTTATTGGGGGTTTTGGCATAGGCACATCCTGTCTTTGTGACTAGCTCTGATTACCAAAACTCCAGACGCCCAAAATGAAATTAGATGTTTACAAAAATCACATTATTTGCACAAATCAATCTAGACAAATTGGTTTAATGCTCCAGACATACCAAAAACAAAAACAAAAAAACACCTCGTAATAGGGACTATTCCAAGAGTTAAGTTTCTTGTAGTTGGCCAAAGGGCAGGCATGCAGATATGCCCTCCTGAACATATAGGAGTTTTGAGAAACCAGGCCTGCAGTGTTGTATTTTATTTTCACATTCAGAAATCAAGAATTTGGTGTTTGTTCAACTTTTTGTTTATTTTACTAAAATAATGCGATATTGTAATAAGTATACTTTCCCTTTTCCAGCTAATTTTAATTCTCTACTAACTAGCTATTATATGAATTACTGTGATAAACTAGTAAGGCTAAATGTAAAATCCCAGCTAATACCTTTCTTTCTAATTTATCTTTTTATGGAATAAATTAGTCAACTTTGAGGCATATATTTTAAACATTGCCCAAGATTATAAAGTTAGTAGCAGATCCAAGACCAGCAGTCAATCCTATTTCTAAATTCAGTAATCAAACTTCACTCTAGAACATTAGGCATTTCACAGTATAGTCTATGAATGTCCTTTAGTTAGTCCTTAAACATAGACTGGTTTCTTGTTGCATTAATATTTATGACGGTGTAGACGGTGTCTACAACTTTATGTTTAATGAATAATTCCCTGTTGACATTTTTATTTGAAAGAATATCAGTTTTCAAATATCACAGTATTGAAATTTCCTCAATACTCATATATAATTTTGATGACATTAATTGTAACTTATTTCCAGTTATAAGCAGGTATGATATATGGTCCATAGTTCAAAAATATTTTACAATTGCTCTTGTACTTTTTACTTAAGTGATTTTCATGTTATGGTAAATATAATTGGGAAAGAAGATTTGGGAGACCAGAAAGAGACAGAGTAAGTCTAGGAGACAGAGAAGTGTCTTCCTTTGTCCTTTCCTGTTTATAATTTGACTGGATGCTCTATAACCTATTTTCACAACTAGAATGAAACCTCCTGGAGGTCAGGTACCTATTTTACATTGTGGCCTACTGAGTTAAACACTAATAATTTTTAAAATAAAAGAAAAATTTGTCTCAGAGGCTGATTTGTGTGGTTTTCTGCTTATACAAAATATAAAGATTTTAGCTTGTATTTAATAATATATTTAAGCCTTATTATGTACAGATCTTTTTGTGTGTGTCTAACAGAGTAATGGCAGTTCCTGCTACAGTTATTTACTTTACCTGCTATGATCAATTAACTGCTCTTCTGAGATCTAAATTAGGAGAAAATGAAAGCCACATACCAATTGTTGCTGGAATTGTGGCCAGATGTAAGTAATAAATGTACTATATTTTCATTATGATTTGTGTTTAAAGCTTTTAAAATTTTGACATTCATAGAATTTATATAAAATATAAAGTGGTGGTAATATGTATACTGCATTTGTAGTTTGTATTAACTCATTCATGTTTTCACTCTAGAAGTCATATGGTATGTTAATTGCCATCAGAATGAAATAGGATCAGTCATTACCTGCAGAATCTTGGACAGAGATTTTAGAATGATTTTAGACTTTAGATTCTAGATTGTAGGACAACATCAGATTGATGTCAAATTGATGCCAAAGTCCCGATCAGTTTTCTTATAGACTTTGAGATTCAAGGTTTAATCAGAAGAAAATTTGCCTCTATGCAGAAAGACATTTTTCTCTGTGTAGTTGGAGTGAGGTTTTTGTTGTAGTCCTAGTTAATATGTAATATTTCTGGAACTGCCCTTGAAATAATTGAAACTGGAAAGAGTAAGGTATATGAAAGCAGATTTTTAAGAAATACCTTTATCAAGGAAGAAAATCTTCACCGATATGTTGGCATCATTTGCTGTTTAATTTCAAAGTTAGCAGACATTTCAGAATAGAAATTTAAAATATAAAATGCATGATATGGAAATTTCGCATGTGTGTTTGCATAGTACATGGCTTCGTTTTTGTTTTTTTATATTTGCTTGTTTGTATTAGTTGGTGCAGTAACTGTGATAAGTCCATTAGAATTGATTAGAACCAAGATGCAATCAAAGAAGTTTTCTTACAACGAACTGCATCAATATGTCAGCAAGAGAGTATCTGAAGACGGTTGGATTTCTCTTTGGAGGGGCTGGGCTCCTACTGTTCTTAGAGATGTACCATTCTCAGGTAGGATTTTATCCTATTAGTGTCTGCTAAGTTTTAGGTAGCTTTGTCTTATTTATATATTACTTTTAAATCAACTAAATTTTAAACTCGTTAAGGCTAAAGATAAGCTATCTTCTTTAGTAACCACAAACTTTTAGTTCAGTGTTGGGCTTTCAGAGCTTTATAAGTCTTAATTGAATGAATAATTTCTAATTTAAGCCTGGTTTTCTTTTATCCCTTGTTTAATTTCTTTTTAAATATTAATGGTGTGTATTTATATTTAGATAATACAAACTATCTTTAACATTATTCTAAATAAGTCATAATTAATAAGATAAGTAAACTACTGCAAATCAGAATATCATAAAATACATTTAAGACCACCTGTAAATTAAATGACTTCTACTTTTTTTCAGTTATTAAAGATAAAAATCTCCCATTCAATGAGCTTCCTGTAAACAAGACTGTTATAAATCAGATAGGAGATTATGCTAAACATTGAATTAGGAAAAGGGTGAAAATCATGAAAAAGAAGTATAAAAAACTAACAAATAACTTGTAGAATGTGCATACCTCAGTAGTATTTCTTTTGTGAATCACCGGAGTTTTCATTTAAAACCTGAAAGAAATAATTATTGAGAACCCTTGTATTAAGGTTCCTCTTTCTTTTTCCTTTTGAGTTAGTCTTTTTCTTGGGCTCTCTTGTTTACATCTCTGCATCTTTCCCTTTTCATTAGTATATTTCTTCATTTTGTGTTCAGTTATTCTGTTCAGAAATACAGTATATAATTAAATCAGTTTCCTAGGCCAAGTGTTTTTTTTATTATATGTTTTTGATACAGAAAAAGTAACAGATAAATAATGATGAATATTAATAAAATGAACACCTGTGAAGTTACCACTTCAATATATGAACTAGAATGTAGCAATTTTTTAAATCATAAAACCACATATATCCTCTACTGTCACAGTGCCAGTGGTAACCACTATACTGAATTTTTCTTTATCATTGATTTGATTTTTAAAAATAGTTTATCATATATGTATTATTGCTAAACAGTGAATTATTTAGTTTTGTCGATTTTTGAGCTTATTTTACTAAAAAATCTTAAGATTCAGTCTTATTTTTATGTGTAACTGGTTTCTTCTTTTTTATCCTTGTTTATGTATGAGTTCACAAGTTAAGAATACTGTTGTCAATATTTAAGTCTCATAGTGTACATGTACAAGAATTTCTCCAATATTAGATTTGCTGGTTCACATAAATATATACATTTAAATTTTTATTAGATAACATCAAAATCTTTTCTGAAGTGATTGTGTGGATCTACACACCTACTAGCTTCTTGCTTCTTCACTTCATAGCCTCACCAGCACTTTTATTGTCACAGTTTATCTAGTAATTTAAAGTGGCTTTTTCACTTTAATTTTTATGATTATTAACGAGACTGGGCACTGTTTCATTGGCCATTCATTTATCTATAATTGACTTGGGTGTATGGACTGAAATAAGGATTCAGTTGCATTCTCATCCTTTCTCCCCGTGAATGGATAGTTATCCCAGCATCATTTATTGAATAACTATACTTTCTTCAGTGATTTGCATTGTCACCTCTGTCACATGAAGTTTTCATGTATGCATGGATCTGTTTCACTGGCTAATTTGTCTAACCCTGTGCTATTACCACAGTATTATCTAAATTACTAGTGCATTAGTAAAAAATCTTGATGTTGCCTTACTTTTTTCCCCTAAGAATGTTACATTTCTTTATTACACAACTCTAAAGTGTCTTAGTAAGGATTTAAAAATTTCTTCGTAAAGATTATATACAACCGTTTTTTGTTTTGTTTTGTTTTTTTAAGATTTATTTATAGGTACACCCACTCATCCTCAACTTTTGGTAGCTATGTTAAAATCTCTATCTTCGTGACTGGTGTTACAATCGATTTTTGTCTGCTAGCTTAAATTTAGCTACTTTTGAAATTCTTGTAAATTCTAATTTGTCTGCACATCTTTGGGGTTTTCTATACTGATAATATGTAAATTATAACTACTTTGTTTCTTCATTTTTAATTATTATAGCTTTTATTTTTTTCTATCTTACTGTGCTGCCTAGGACAGTTTTGAATAGTAGCAGTGGTGATGTTGCATCACTATTATTTTCCTCATTTTCAAGGAAATAGTTCTGTTGTTTCACTATTATTTTTCGGTATAGGTTCTCAATGCATATCCTTTATCAAGTTAAGTTTTCTTTCAACCCTAGTTTTCCAAGAAATTTATTTGCTCTAAATAAAAGTGTGTTCAATGAACTGCTTTTCCATCATTTTAGATGATCCTGTGGTTCTGTCAATGTGTATGGCATCTAACAGGCTTATTATATTTACATTACCTTTGCATTCCTTGTATAACCCAATTTAGTCATAGTGTTTGATCTTTTATGAAACACTTTTGTCTTCAGTTTTATTTAATTTTTATAGGATTTTACACCTATGTTCATGAATGAGATTTGCCTATACTTTTCCTTTCTCCTACTGTCTTTGTCAGGTTTTGGAATTAAAATCCAAACTTCACTGATGCCTAGTTTTTATAAGACTGCTAGAATATTACTGAGAATTTGGTTCCTTTTTTTTAAATCTCACCTAGTATGTGTCTGAACAGAAAGCAAGGTGCATAAAGGTCAGAATTTCTCTTTTCCTTTAATATATAACCTCCAAAATTTTCTTTAAAGTCTGCATTTCATTTCTAAATATGTTTTCATTCTCTTTTTATAGCAATGTACTGGTATAACTATGAAGTTTTAAAGAAATGGTTGTGTGAGAAATCTGGTTTATATGAACCTACATTTATGATCAACTTTACTTCAGGGGCATTGTCTGGTTCTGTAAGTTTATTCTTTTAATAAGCCAGAATAATGATAATCTTATTAAAGCAGAACAACATATAATATAGCATTTCATATCTGTTGAGAGCACTTTTGGGCTGCACTGCTTTAAAAATGTTCTATTTACTATCCTATATTGAGGAAGTAGATTATTAGCCATTTGAATATTTTAAAATGCACTTTGTGACTGTGTTTTTATTATGTTTAAAATACATTGTTATATTTCTGAACAACTTTTGGACCTGTTAGATAACTAGATTTATGATAATAGTAGTTTAAATAGTGTTTTATTTACAAAGTGTTTGGCAATTTGCTCATTTAATGCCAGTAAGTAATATTTAACAGAGTATCATCTCGTGTGTATAATTGGATTGAATAGAAGGAATTTCATCCTCTGCTGCTAATTCCTGTTTCTTTGGGAATATTTTGGCTAAATAATTCTTAATTTTAACAAAAGTTGCATGCAGAAGGTAGGAATCTCAACCATTTTGGGGTAGTAGAGCGTTTACCTTGTCCCACGCCTCCACATAACGAAAATATTCATAGCTAAGTTTTCAACTCAATATAGTGGATTTCCTTTATGCAGATTCACATCACCATGATCTTGGTCACAAAGAGTTTTCTTATACCAACATACTTACAAATGAATTTATGCTGACTTAGAGTGAGGTGCTGACGTACTGTAGCTGAATTAAGAGTGAAAGAGCATAGTGAGATGATGAAGATCTGAAAGAAAATATTGGAATAATTGTTATCAGATAAGAAAGCCACTGTGATTGAGTTGAAAACTTAGCTATGAATATTCATAGGTCTGAGATCTGTAAAATAGCATAATGTGGGTTGTAAACCTTTTGAAGCAAAAAAACAATTACTTTTTTTAAAGCAATTTCAGTAGTTACAATGCCAGCAAAATCTTCTCATTATCCATCTTATTGGTGAGGTGATTAAATATAACTTAATTTTATTTAAATTATATCTTCATCCAGCATGAATGAAGAACCAATACTGTGTATTTTTAGAAATTCATAATAATTAGAATTACGGCACCAATTCCATACTTGAAAATAAATGCGATGTCTAAATACAAGTTTAATAATGGCTTTAAAATGTCTTAGCAGCTTTCTAGCAATATGAAGGACAAGTTTTTCTATTTTACTAGTACTTTTTAACAGAAAATTTATTTTAAAACAATTTTAATGATCTAGAAAATATTGCTGCCTTTTGACTGTATTCAAATAAAAATTTGTCTCCGCAAAAGAAAAAGTGTGTCAGTGTGACAATGTCCTGGGTAGTCTAAACTGCATCATTTTAGAGTGTCAAAGAGCACTATTACCTTATTGCTTGCTACCTTTTCCTACTACATGCTACGTTTTGGAGATGGAGGAACAATAATTGATTTTATCTTGAAATCTTTGAAACATTTTATTTCAGGAACTTAAGTCAACATTATTGGGGTGAAATAAAAGTAATTTTAAGAGTCATTTATGAGCATATTAGCCAAATGTGAGTTGGGGAGCAAAAAAAAAAAAAAAAGGCTAGGTTTTATTACACATGGCTGTGATATTATCAAATATTATGAGACATTCTTAAGGGAATTTAATTAAAAAAACTTCTTTGCTTAATTTTGTCATGAAAATAATTGTTGACTTCATTTTGAGATAAGTTTTCAGAAATGTTATTTGTGAACTGTTGTAACTATTTGATAAATACATTGAAACCCATACAAAGGGTATATGTTCAAAGTGCATTTTATTTAAATTTAATTTTTTATTCTATAATTTTCTTAAACATTTGTTAGAAAATTTTAAGTGCTTGATAGATATTTGAGAATCTCTATTTTAAAATATGTATTGTGTTATACCTTCCGTAAGTGAATAATGGAACACACAGGAGAATCATACTGTGGAAACTGGTTTTGGAGTCAGAGAGGTCTAGTTGGAATTCTGACTCTGGCACTAGTAGTTGTGTGACCTCACAAAAGTACAGGAACTTTTTTGAGATTGTTTTACTTCTGAATTTTGGGAGAAATACATAAGATGTGTATGTATTTCTTTACATACTATATACTATATACTAAGATGTGTATCTGTTTTCTTTAGTAAAAGTTTCTCTTTAAATATATCTGGTTTTATTTTAACTTTCAGTTTAGTTATGATTTTCAGTATTATCCTGGTTAAGTAATGTGCTATTTGGAAGAATGTAAAAATATTTTGGGAAAAATTTAAAGGTAGATTTAAATTAATCAATTTTTTTTGGGTAGTTTGCAGCTGTTGCAACTTTACCATTTGATGTGGTAAAAACACAAAAGCAGACACAACTTTGGATGTACGAAAGTCATAAAAGTAAGTTTAATTAATTTAAAACATTTTCAAGCTGTTATGAAAATTTTTGTTTTTCTTTCCAGATACTGTTAGGAATATTTAAAATAAGGATAAGACTTTTTTTTTTTTCTGCCTGACTCTAACTGAAAGTAATACACTGTTAGAATGAAATACTCAGAAAAAAATACTCTAAAACCAAACAAAAATTTAAGAAATCTTAGTCTGTGTATTTTGCCTACCATCAGTTAAATCCCTTATCTCCTATATAGATTACATTATATGTTTTTTTCCCAAATCTAGACAAATTAGGGTGAAGTATATTAAATTACTGAGAAATCTTTTTCTCGTGGTGTGTTTTGTTTTGTTAATATGTGTAGAATTATTTATTCTTTCCTGATTATTTTTTAGCTTTTGTTTTTTTGGTGTGTTTTTTTTTTTTTTCTACCTATTATCCCATCTATTTTTACTTCTTTATAACCTGTAACTACTTCTAGAACTAAAGTGTACTTAGTTGCATATATTAGATCCCTTCGGTCATTATTATCTGTAGAAAGTATACAGTGAACCCATTGGAAATTATTTATTACAAAATTGTGTTATGTAAGCCTTGTGATTAGCCTATTATAATGTAAATAAATTGTTCTAACCCACCATTATATGGCATACAAAATAAAATAGGTATTCTCACGTTGAAAGAAACATTGATAACACACCTCTGAAAATGCGTCTGATTGATATTAGTGACAACTTTGTCCTTGACTAACAAAAGTCCTAGTCAGCTCTAATATTAGAAGTGAACTAAATCCTGAGAGGTAATCAAAGTTTATTATCAGGGTTCTCCAACTTAACTGTTTTAGGTATGAGCCTTCCAGCTGCCTAAGCCCTATCTCTTCTCCCTTGGGAGTTCAAAATTATTTTAATTTTTCCATCCAACTCATCTAAATTTCTGTTGCTCTGATAAATGAACTATTGAAAGTAGTAGAAATATTCTCTTTGGTATAACTTATCATAGATGATTGATGACTGGTAGTGGTGTCATTGTCGTCATCGTCATCATGGTGGTCATGGTAATGGCCATCGTGACGATGAGGGAAAGGTAGGAATCTCTACAGGTAAATTTTTCAGCACACTAAAGTTGGAGATCCACTTACCTAGGTAGATAATCATTGGCGTCACCTGCGGTGCTTTTTCCACTACACCAAAGGCCGAGCACCACCCTCAGTGGACTCTTATTTAATCTAAAGTGGGGCTCCAGCTTGTGTATTTTGAAAATGTACTCTAGGTGATTGATTGTACATCCTCATTTAGACTAGCACCAGGGAGCATCGTCTTTCATTAGCTCTCACTCTTACCTATCATTACTTTTTTTTCTCCATTTAAACCCAAAAGGAGAAACCTTAAATAAGCCTGGGGTCTTAATTTTCCATGGTCACTTTTACTTGTTATTCTGCTTCAGCTATGAACAATTTATATTTAGCAAGCTATGTTTCTGTTGAAAACTACACTTCTGATTTGAGTAATAAAAGCCCATATTTTTTCTCATTTTCATTGTACATTATTTGTCCCCAAGAAAGAAGTAAATCAGAAGCATCTTTCTCCATTCCAGATCTCAGCTATACCAAATCCTTTATTTCCAAGAAAAAAAAAAAAACCTATAGAATGATGATCAATTCCATTCATGAATAGGATCTCTGTATCAATGCACTTAAACCACTTCTCCCATCCTTCATTAGTCGACTGTGATTAAATGCCTACTTGGTATTGGGTACCATGCTGGCGTATACAGATAAATGAGGTAGAGGCATCTTAAGTCTTCAAAGAGCCCATAATCTAGTGGAGGAGAAGCACATTAGGATGTCGTAAGTGCCAGATCCTACAGTAGAGGTAACTTTTACCTCATTTATGAGTGCATTATTTATATTTAATTTCTTAAAATTTAATCTTCTGTTTCAGCTTTTTAAACCTGGCTCTGATCCACCTGTTTTCCACAGGTTAACTTTTTCTCTGAACATATTCAGTATTTTAAAATACTTCAACAGAAATTTTAAAAAATCATTTTTTAAAATAGTTATACTTGGTAAATAAACTTCTAAAAAATGCTCAACTTTAGTATTAATGAGGAAAATGGCAACCAGAACAGTAAAGGACATTATATGCTCTAGATTGTTGGGGAGGATGTGGAGCTGTGGGAACTTCCATGCTATGCAGGCGGGACTATAAATTTGGAAGAACTGTTGAGGAAATAATCTGGCAATATCAAGAAATACTTTTGAACAGACAATTCCACTCCTAGATATGTATCCTAGGGAAACACTTGGATTTCTACAGGATATTTGCTGAAGGGTTCTTAATTCCCAAAAGTTAGAAAGCACCTAAATGTCCCTTGGCAGGGAAATGAGTAAGTTGTATTAATCCATATAAAGTGATACCATACAGCAATTAAAATGAATAAAATGTAGCTACATTGTCAACATAGATAACCCTAAAGCACATTACAAGAATAAAAGTACGGTATGATACCATTTATATAAAGTTTAAGAGTATGAAAAAGCAAGTTTAGTTTACACATGTGTTCAGATGCAGTAAAAGTTTAAACACATGGCATGACAAAGATTAAAAAAAAGACAAGAGTGGTTACCTCTGAGGAGAGAGGAAGACTAAGCAGAAAGGAATATACAGGCGTCTTCCACTGTATCTAAAAGGTACAGTTGTTAGGATTTGATAAATTTGATAGTAAATGAGTATTTTATTGTTCACGCTTCAGATATTTAATAATGAAACAGTATGTTCTTATAATGTAAGAAGTTACTATTAATTACCTGTAAAACTAGCTATTTAATGTTGGAACTTTAGGCAGGAGACAATTTTAAGGGTCTGTTAGCACTCTGTCGTGACTTACCTTCAGTTATTAACTTTCTGTCCATTTTCTTTTACGGCTATTGAAATAGAGACCATTTGGGGCTTGAGTTCTACAAGATTAGAAATACCCAGCTATTTGGCTTCCTCTCTTTTACCAGTTGTTTCCAAAAGTTAAATGTAATTTGAACATAAAGTAGAAAGTTGCCAACTTGTAATATAATGTTTTTATCATTGACTTTTTTAAAAAAGTTAAATTTCATTCATAAATACTTTGTTCTTGATTTTAAAGTAACTATCCTTCCTATTGGGTTGCTATAGTTATTATACTACTTATATTGAAAGTATAGCTTCTTAAATCATAAGGCCTTGTTTATGTTCATAGAGAATCTGATATTTTATATAAATGAAACGAGATAATAAGCCCCAGTCCATTTAGTGGCAAAATTCTAAAGAGACATTTTTGAAAGATATTTGTCTCTTATCTTTCCTTTTTTTCCTAGGGATGCTTCATAATATGTCCTTTAATCTTTCTTAATGACTCAGAGATTCATCAGTGTACACATTAATTATTTGTAGGGTTTTGCAATGCAGCTCTCAGAAGCTAGTGAGGGTAATACAGGAGTATTTGCCCATCATCTAGCTGATCTCAAAGACTGAAATCTTCAGCATGTCAGCTGTCTCGGTGTTCACATGGTAGTATGCCTGCTTCTTAGCAGATATGTTATTGCATCTAGTAGTCTGTGGGCTAAGCCAACATCATTGGGTAAAATGAAGGTAAGTGAACTTTGTATATGAACAGCTCATTCATAAGCTTTATGTTTGAACTTTAGTGACATCTATTTTTGCTGGTTTTTTTCTTAACTAAATTAGTTTTTTCCCTATGTTCCGGACATTTGAGAGGTTGCAAATAAGTGAGATGTTACTGTTAGTTGAAGGATGAATTTGCCTTTTGGAGGAAACAGGGCTGATCTAATTTATTTCAAGACTGGCACATCTATACAGAAAGGTTTTAATAAAGCTGGACCTTACTAGAGAGATTGGGCCATTTTCCTCAGAATTTCTTTTTTAGAAAGAAAAAAAAAATTAATGTATGCAATACAAATTTAATGAAACATGATTATCAGGGCTTCTTTTTAGCTTTGGGAACCCCATGAAGATTTTTATCTATCTGTAAAATTTTTCATTATGAAAGTTTTTAAGACTTGGAAAAAAGTGTAAAGGATATCCACTTCCAAGCCTAAGAAACAAGCATCAGTTCAGGGGAAACCTTTGGCATATTCCTTGATTCCACCTAGTCCTTATACACCTTTAATCTTACAGTCTTTTTCTAATTTATTTTTAATGACCAACTATTAGAAGTATTTAAAATAGCTCTTTAAGCAAACAGATCTCTTATTATTATAATGAAATGATATACCCCCAAAGGCCATAAACACTATTTTATGTGTATTTGTATTAGAAATTAAGTGGTATTTTGTAATAGTATCATTTCTTTATTTTAACATTTAGTTTCTGTGCCTTTGCATATGTCAACCTGGGCTATAATGAAGAACATTGTTGTTAAGAATGGGTTTTCTGGACTATTTACAGGTAAAAATATTTGCTTTACCAAATTGTTGAATAAAATGATTACTTTTACTTTTAAGTCTATCACCTTCCTAAATTAACTTTCAGTTACTTCAGAAAGTTACTGAAAACATTCCACATCTTTGCTATAAATTTAAAAATGTTAAATAATAGATTTACTATCAATAAGATAAATTTCTATATAAAGTAACATGGAATTAAAGTGAGAAGGTTGGGAGTGAGTGTGGTTTGTTCTTTGACACCAGTTTATGGCAAATATTTGATATATCACTTTGTTTAATTTGATCATTTTTAGAATAAAACCAAATAAATTACATTTTAAAAAATAAGGTAAAATTTGTTCTTATGGTTTTTCTGTTTTCTTTTCAGGCCTAATTCCCCGTTTAGTTAAAATTGCTCCTGCTTGTGCCATTATGATCAGTACATATGAATTTGGAAAGGCTTTTTTCCAGGAACAAAATGCTCAAAAACAGAAATATTAGTGACGGTGTTTCAACTTGAAATAATAACCGTGGCCAAATAATAAGATGAAGACTCTTAGGCAAGAACTTTTTCACCATTATCTTAGAGTGATTTTATGTCTTTCTTTCCTATAATTTAAATGCATAGGAATTTGTACTTTGCCTCTAAATCATTATCCTAATTTTAAAATAAAGTTTGTTATCCTAATTTTTGAGATACTAAAAAGGATATCCCAGAAATTATAACCATTGAACGTTTTTATAAAGAAAAGAAAAATTAGCACCAGAAGTGGTAATTTCTGAGTTTCAATTATAGGTTGTGGTGTAACAATCTTATGTGGGAATGTGTCCAATACATCAAAATGTTTTGAATTAAGTGCTGAATTATGTACTGGGTCTAGAAGAAAAATGCCAAGTCTTTTATACACATTTAAATCATGCACATAGATATTTAAGCATTTCAGCAAAGTAGATAAATAGGAGGAAGTCTTTAAATAACATTTACCAAATATTACTTTTTTTAAACTTCAAAAATGCATTAGATTTTTTGTTTGAAGTCTTCACATATATTAGGATTTCTCCGATCAAAGATATGGCTGTTTTATCTTTATGAACCAAAATATAATTATTTGTGTGATGTGGATGCTGCTGTTTTTGATGACTAAAGACCCTGTATTCCCTACTGTTTCTGCAAGAGAGGGAAGTTGTACCGATTGTTTTAAATGTTCACTTCAGTCAAACTTGGGTGTGCAGTGGAAAACCACATTGTGTTTGGCATGGAAGGTACCCAGGTTTCAGCTGTGTTGTAATTTATGTATCACTGTGGTGTTCTCTAGGTCACTTCTGTTGCTTTCTTCTATCAAATTGGATATTAATACAATATCAGTCAAAAATTTCCAAAATTTTCCATGATGATATACATCTAACAGTATATTAGACCAAGAGACTAAACAGGCAGCAATTTCCTTGAAGAAATAGCTTTTGGTCACTGTAGGCCAGCAGTCTCCAAACTTTTTGGCACCAGGCACCAGTGCTCCTATGAGAATCTAATGCCTGATGATCTGAGGTGGAGCTGAGGCAGTGATGCTAGCACAGGGGAGCAGCTGCAAATACAGATGAAGCTTCACTTGCTTGCCTGCTCCTCACCTCCTGCTGTGAGGCCTGGATCTTAACAGGCCACAGACTCCAGGGTTGGGGGCCCCTACAGTGTAGGCTAATGCCTGAGTAATTTAACTTATCACTATAGGAATGAAATAAGAACATGATAGCAGGACAAGAAATGATATTTTTTATATTTGATTTGCTCAGGATATACATAAGAAAAAACACTTTATTATAGTTTGTGTATTTTATGAATGTGAAGCATTTTTTCCCTTAAAATAGGTAATATATTTAGGTAACAAATCTTCTATAGTATTGATAGAGGAATTTATTTGTATTATAGTAAAGTGTTAATGTTTCACCAGAAATAAGCTATGTAAGATTTGTATTTAACTTTTTGTTTTTATGCTGTTGATTTACTTTAAATTTGCAACATACATATCCATAAAAATATAGTTATATTAATTTACATTTTCATTATTTTGCTTTCTTAACATCACTGTACTTCTAGCTAAATAGTCACATAATGTGTGAACTTTTATCTTGAACACTGCTGTTTAACAGTATTAAACTTAATTTGGTTTTGCCATGCTTTTTGATTACTGATGGGTAGAAAAAGAGAATATTTAGATTTAAATCTATGTTCTCAAAAAGCAGTCACATATTTCAACTTACTATCACTTATAAATACCAGAAGGAAATTTTCCAACCCTATCCCCAATACTGACTGCACTTATGGAAAATTATCATTTATGACTAAAATAATTTAAATCTAATAATTCCCTAATAGTTTTTCTAACATACTTTACTTGCAGTGTATCTGGATGAAAAGAAGGATGAAAGAAAGCTTCAGCTCTTTCTATACTTAAGTGGTTAAAATAAGCATTAATACCTTGGTTAAAAAAATTAGCAACCAAGAAGGGTTTGTCTAGAAATTGTGTTCTTGGTAATGTTTCTGAAAGGAAAATTTCATTTTATTAATGGTAATTTTCTAACATGCATATTTATGTGCAAAATTTTTTAAGAAGAAATGTCTTATTGAAGTACTGTTTGCTACTCTTCATATAATACACATTTGACTTTTGAAAGGATACAGTGTTGAAATACTTTCCTTTTTCTGGGGCATAAATTCCAGAGATGTGGGAAAATTTAGTCTATCACTTTTGAATTTTTTTTTCCAAAATGAATTTTAAAAGAAACTATGGCTCTTATATTTTAATCTGTCATTCATCACTTGAGACCTTTTATGCGGTAGGCAGTATGAAAAGCACTGGAGATGAAGAACCATTACTGGCCCTAAGGAAGTTCAGAGCTATGATTGAAAGGGGAGCAATGCAAAAGCTCCACTAAGCTTGGGGGTGGAGAGGGTGTGCTCAGGAAATGCTCCTAAGATTAGGACAGGTGATCCAGTTAAATATACCTGGAGGTGGGCGTCTCTATCGGGCAGTGGGATATAGTCCCAGTGGCTTGAACAAAGAGCATACGACGTGCTTAGTGGGAGATCAGATGGGAAATGCAGTCAGCGGCACTGCCAGAACTACTTCTGTACTGTGCCAATGCGGTAGATGCTGTGTATTCTAAAACATGTCATGTTATTTAAAAAAATGTATTTAATATGATGTGAGTTGAAATAAAGATTTCTCAAACCATTTTCATATTAGTATTTTAGGTGTTTAAGTAATATACATTTACCACATTTGTTGAAACAAAAGTCCATGTAAAATTTATCAAGTAACTTTTCGTCAAGGATTAAATAAGACTACAGATTCATGGTACAAAATGTTTAATGTACGTGCAACAAGTATACATCAAGGCAACAAAATACACGTGGAAATATTAGCATGTAATTAAGCATTCTATTTTGGGGAGGGTCAGTGAACAGTAAACACCACCTAAAACTAAAGGTTGAGACATAAGTTGTTTCCTCATGCACACATTAACAAACTACCTCTGTAACTACTGTGAAAGGAACTGTGGAAACCTGAATTCACATTAGCAGATTAACTTTATACCAAGAGCTCCAAGAAAGGAGGAAAAGTCATGATCCTCAGATGTCATGTTTAAATCTGCATTTAGCAGCATGTTAAGATGCACAACTTACTGTATACATTAGATAAATCTGAAAAAGTTTATCAATTATGGAATCTTGAAATAACTGTTATAAAAATGTATGGAAAAATTTTAAGTGATTTTTTAAAATTAGTAAAGGATAATGTCAAGTTGAGAGTTAACCACGAATGATAAAGCATTTAAACATTCTGATAGTTCTTAGGAAAGCAGCAATAGTGCTTAAGGCTAGCCTAAAAGTTTTGAAGTTCCCCTCAACCAATTTCTCATTACCGCCTCCCAAGGTTTCCATTGTCCATATACCTTCGCTTTATCTCCCGTGCTGAGTAAAAACTGCTTTGGATACCTCACTCACAATGTGGTATACAGAATTAAGATATTAAAGGTACCATTTCAAGAATATTTGCATTTCTACAAGTAAAGCCTTAAGCTAAAAGAATAAAGCTCTGAGTAAGTTTTGGTACATCTAAGATAACTTATTTTAAGGGCTTCCAGGCCTCCTTTGTCCGTGAAATGACGTTGTTTGAACTGCCTTACAAATGAGACTAGCCTTGTTACTGTTACCTTAAATTCCAAATGATGAGAATTAAGTTCTAAAGATTGCAGAGAACCACCACACTCCTACATTTCTGATACAAAGAATGAATGTGATAAGTTCAGCACTTCTTGCCTCCTCTCAATAAAAACTGCATTAGGAGGAACATTCTTCCTATAGGTCAAAGCTACTAAGTTTGAATGTAATGTTTTATTAATAAAAACAGCACATGAAGTCTCCAATAAATATTGTAGCCTCTTAATGTAAACAATGTATAAAACTTCTTTGGCACAACTGATCATGTTTTCCTCATATTACTTACTATAGAAAATATACTTAATACATTTTCTCTTTCAATATGGTGGAATTTTTAGGGACAAAATGTATAGTTCCAGAAACATTTAAATATGGTTCATAGCTTTTTTAAAAAAGAAAACATTTTTAACCCGTAGAAGTGCAGAGATTTTTAACATGAGATTATGACATGATTAATGACAAGCTATAAAACATACATGATACAATGCATTGTTGCATACATGAGAGAAAAAATAGCACTGTATGCCAGACATTAAGTATGGTGATTACCCTACTGATCCTAATTTAAAAGCTTCTCAAATACTTACTGATCTTGACATCTTTCCTGATCAAACTTTTTTTAACATCTGTTCTACATTTTTTAATGTTTCCAATTTTATGGCATATTTGATCATGTTTTTAAATTGGTAAACCTTTTAAGAAAATTTTGAGAAAACAAGATATTTATTCAGTTTACTTAAATGGCCTGAAATACTGTAAAATACTTTCCCTATGACCCTAACAAATTTAGTAACTGCCTAAAGGCCCATTCCTATAAAATTTATAAAATGTTAAGGGAGATGTTGATACCAAATGATAATTGTTAAAGAACAACTGAATCGGCCACTGTGAAACTGCAGATGAGGACAGTCAGGACATTCTCATGTTAAAAACAAGGCTTTTAAACATTAGAACCTAGAAAGAAATTAATAAAAAGTGAAATTGGCAAGTCATTTTTAGAAATTTTAATCACTGCAGAAAAGAGTGAAAGAAAATAAGTCTCTGGAATAAACCTTGAACTATGTCTCTGGCAATTATGATATATTTAAACATTTGAAAATCAGGTGAATAAATATGTACAATTTGCAATGGATTATTGATTTAGAGGATCTTTGAAAGTTTTTTTTTTAAGCCTATTCATTTTAAACTTCCTCAGTGACAAATAGAATTTTAAAATGAAAAGTGGCAGGATCATTTTTTTTTCACTCAAAATTTTACTTGGAGTGGACTGAACTCTCTAATGTAAGCAATAAAATTCCAGACATGTGCCAGAACAATATAAAACTCCGAAGGTTCTCCCAGCAGTCAAACTTATATAAATAGAACATTTGCAACATAAAATTTTTTGGCTTTTACATAAAAATGTTCAGGATGGAGTTAGGCCTGGACTTGTCATCTCTGTTGTAGGACTTGCAAGATAGTCATTAGATTTTAGGCTTGTTAAAGATTTGTAACTTGCCACTGATGTTAGAGACCCACAGAGACCGAGTAATGAGGGAGTATCTTCTTTACCTGAAAATTAGGATAAAATAACATTTAATTTACTTTGAACAATGATACCAATAAGAAGCTAAACACTTCCTATTTTACCTAATATTGCATATTCTTGAATATTGTCATGTTAACAGTTACTAATACATATATACATGTACGTAAACACATGTAAAATAATGGATTAAAAAAATAAGTATATTAAAATCTGAGTTAATATTTTCAAAGCAATTAATTGACATGGGAGGAAGAACTTGTCAAAATTAACAAAACTTTCTAGGCCAGATGACTGGGAGAGTGATAGTTCCTAGCAGAAACAAATTAGCCATCAGGAGCAGAAAATGGGTTTTGTTTAATAGCAAGAAAGGTCAGTTTTATTTTAAGTGTATTGATATGGAATCTAAACTCCACAAGTCTTCAGATGGTGCTGCTACAAATGTTATTGTGAGAAGTCAATGGGCATCCTCTATGTGCAAGGCATTGTGATAAAAGATAATTTTTAAAACCACTTCTTGTCTATAGGGAATTTAGTATATGATGGAAACATATACAAACAAAATTATAATAATATGCAGTTAGTGTAAGTCAAGGGCATTATGTGAGAACTGTAAGTCAAGGGCATTATGGAGGCCTAGAGGGGAAGTATCCAAACCGAATCAGAAGGTATGGGTTAGGGGCAATTAGAGAAGTTTCAAGGGAGAAAATGACCACCGAACTGAATCCAGTGGGCATGCATACCCAAGGAGGCAGGAACCAGCAGAGGCTCTGCAGAGGACCAACATGGACAGAGGCACAGAGGGGAGAATTACCACCCAAGGTTCAGGGAGCTACAAGCAAGAAATGAGACTAGAGGGATGGATAAAGGCCACAGAAGACTTTAGAGTTCATGTTAAAGAGCCTGAAAATTGTAACCATTATAAGTTTGCAGTGTGACCTGAAATCAAGTCTTCTGAATTCAGAGACTATATTCTTGGTCATACTCATAGTAGGGAGCCACTGAGGCCTTTTTCATAAGGGGATTGCATGGTTGATTTGTATTTTAAGTACTTGAGGGCTCTGTGAAGCATGATTTGAGGGAAATAAAGTAGTGCTTGGTGAAGGCAAGATGTTAGGTGAGAAGAGCCATGAATGACTCAGTAGATTTTGAGAACTGGTAAGTGAGTGGCAAGATAACCAACTCTAAGAAAGAAAAGTTTGGGGTGGGAAGGAAAGTGTCAGTGAGGAACCAGAGAGGCAATAAATATGTATCCTAATTTTAAGGAATGCCTAAAAAGATTCTTTAGCTACTATCGAACCCATAAATATAAGGAAAATTATATTAAGCTGTTGTGCAAGGACTTTTTTGTGATCTATGGTCAAGAAAAGGGATGGTCATCATTTTGTGCAATAAAATTTTAAACTATTAGAACCAATGTGTGTTGAAGTTGTAGCTGGCCAAGAGGGAGTTGTGACATAGTTGTTTTTGCCTGTACATGCATGAACTTGATCACATGTGTTCACATAGGTATCACTGAGTTGCCTGTTTATATGCTGCTTAAAATGCTTTCAAAAACAGTACAAGATAATTTGCCCTTAAAAATAATAGTTGTTTGTTCATAGAAAAGCATGAGAAAAGCAGGATGTAAATTTCATATCACTGAAACAAATATTAACAAGAAATACTGCAGTTCATACCTATAAAACAAAACAAAGTGCTTGAGAACAAATTCATAAAAAAGGGGAAAACCCTGCAAGTAGATGAGGCTTGATGACATCTGCAAAGGATTGCTTATCACTTGCCAAGCACATAACTGAAGGCAGAAGAAAGTCCTCAGAATAGATCAAGTAAATTTTGAAGCAACAAGCAATTGGTGTGACTGATTCATGCATCATGCAGGATTTCTGTTAAGAGGTCAAACATCAATTTGTTACAGAACTGTTGCCTTTGATGAGAAGCTGTTAAACTTGCAAAACCATTTGATTTAACGAAGAAAATGAAACTATAAAGTAGGCAAATAGGAACATATCTGTGTAAAAATGTGCAGGATATTTGTTGGTAATTTGAAAGAAATCCCTACAACAGTGTAGTATTGTTTTAGGAAATGGTTCACTGTTGGCAGAGGGTGATATTGTGAGGAAAGGCATAGTCACTGACAATTTTGATTCACAAAAATGACTCAGAAAATATAGACTGAAGATGAAGTTCTTGACGATTCACTTTTTTTTTCCGTATTATAGGGAAGTAAAATTTTAAAATCTATGCATAACGTCTAAAGTAATTAACAATTATAAAAATAAGAAAATAACTCATTTATAATAGCATCTGAAAGAATAAAATACTCAGGAATATAACCAAAGTGCAAGAGTTACACACTGACAACCACAGAGTAACTGCTATATTTCCCCAATTGATCCCAACAGATTCAATATAATCCTCTTCAAAATTTTAATTCCCTGTTGTTTTTTTTTTTAAGAAATGACAAGCTGATTATAAAATTCATATGGAAATGCAAAGGACCTTAAATAGCCAAAATGATCTTAGAAAAGAACAAAGTTGTAAGACTCACACATCCTGACTTCAAAACTTAATTACAAAGCTACAGCAATCAAGACAGTGTGGTACTAGAGTAAAGATAATGTGGCATTGGCAGAGACATATAGACCAACAAAACAGTATTAAGAATCCAAAAATAAACCCACATATGTAATATATTTCAACAAGAGTTCTAGGACCACTCAATGGGGGAAAAGAAGTCTTTTCAACAAATCGTCCAGAATCAGCTGAATATCCACATGCCAAAGAATGAAATTGTACACTTAGCTCACCATATACAAAATACAAAAAACTAACTCCAAATAGATCAAAGACCTAAAAGATCTAAAACTATAACCTCTTGAAACAGGTGTAAATCTGCATGATTTTGGATTAGGCAATGATTTCTTAGATGTGACAACAAAAACAAAAGAAAAACTAGATAAACAGGACTTCATAAAAATTGAAAACTGAATCAACACTGGCAAAAAAGCGAAAAGAAAAATCCCTCAAAATACTTGCAAATCATAGATAAGGCTCTACTATCTAGAATATACATGTACATAAAGAACTATTACAACTCAACCATAAGAAGACAATGACATTTTTAAATGGTCAAAGGATTTGAGCGACATTTCTCTGAAGATGATATACAAATGGCCAATAAACACATGAAAAGATGCTCAACATTATTACTCATTAGGGCAGTGTAAATCAAAACCATGAAGTTCCACTTCAGACCCACTAGGATGGCTATAATAAAAGAATAACAAATATTCGTGAGGGTATGGAGAAACTGCAACCTACATTGGTGGTGGGATTGTAAAATGGTAGTCACTTTGAAAAACATTTTGGCAGTTCCTCAGATGGTTGAACATGATCTAACCAATTCCATTTCTAGTTATATCCCCAAGAGAAGTAAAACTGTGTGTTCACATAAGAATTTGTACATGAATGTTCATAGCAGCATTATTAATAGCACAAAAGTGGAAACAATCTAAGTAACTAATGAATGGCTAAATCAATTGCAGTATATCCAAACAGTGGGATATTATTTGGGCATAAAAGGGAATGAAGCACTTATATATGCTGTAACATGGGTGAACTGTGAAAACATTATGCTGAGTCAAAGAAGCCAGACAAAAAGGGCTACATATTGTATGATTTCATTATATGAATGTCTAGAATAGACAAATCCAAAAAGACAAAGTAGATTAGTAGTTACCAAGGGATGGAGTGGGGAGGAATTGGGGTTGACTGCTAATAAGTACAGGGCTTCTTTACTGGGTGATAGCAATGTTCTGGAATTAAGTAGTAGTGATTGTCATAATTATGTCATGTACCACACATGAATATTTCAGTCAGCGACAGGCTGCATGTACACCGGTGGTCTCATAAGATTATAATGAAGCTGAAAAAAACAATTCCTATAGCCTTTTGATGTCATAGCTATCATATCTCTTAGCACAAAGCATTACTTGTATAGTGATGCTGGTGTAAACCTGAGCTGCCAGTTCTATAAAAGTATATAGCACATACAATTATGTTCAGTACATGGAACTCAATGATAATAAACAGCAGTGTTACTGGCTTATGTATTTACTTTTCATTGTTATAAAGTATACTCTTTCTAGTTATAACAACAGCTGTAAAACAGTAGGCTGTATTACTCTGGCAGCAGCCTCATACATCTCATGTTTACTGTGTCTCTTGATTGTATCATTTTCTCTTGTGCTTGATTTAATCTGTTTTGGTTTTTAACATGCTGCACAGGCTTGTAGCCTAGAAGCAACGGGCTGTACCATGTAGCTTAGGTGTGTTGTAGGCTGCACCATCTAGGTTTGTGTAAGTGCACTCAATGATGCTCACTCGATGAAACTGCCTAACGACACATATCTCAGAGCGTATCCCCATTGTTAAGCAGTGCAAGACTATATACCAAACACCATTAAATTGCACACTTTAAAATGGTGAATTTTATGTTATGTGAATTACAGTTTGTTGGGTTTTTAAAAAATCTGTATAAGTCTATTTGAGCCAAACTGATGACATATGCTAGGAAGCAACATCTCAAATGTTCTTAAAACAAGTTATTTTTATTTTTAAATTAGATTTATTGGGGTGACATTCGTTAATAAAATCATGTAGATTTCAGGTGTACAATTCAGTAGTATGTCATTTGTATATTGCATTGTGCGTTCACCACCCAAAGTTAAATTTTCTCCTGTCACCATATATTTGACGCCTTTTACCCCTATTTACCTCGCCCCTCTTCCCTCTAGGAAGCACTAAACTGTTGTCCATGTCCATAAATCTCTGTTATGTTCATTTGCTGCTTTCAGTTTTGTATCCCACATTAAGTGAAATCATATAGCTTTCAACTTTTTCTGTGATTTATTTTGCTTAGGTCTAAAAGAGCTCTTAAAATAAATATGAAAAATGCTAAGAGATATGGAAATGCATTATAGTTTAATTGTTGGCATTTTCTTTTTCTTTTTCTGGGGTACATAAAATAATGGTGTATCCTAAGACCCAAGGCATGTTAGATTTGATGAAATACGGTAGCTACTAGTAGTTACTAGCATAGTACCTGTCATATGAGAGGTTTAATAAGTGCTCTTTGAAAAAAATGACAAGTTCTCACCCTTTTCTATCAACAATTATGGTGCTGTAATAAGTAGCTTGAATTTTATTATGATTGTCATTGAGAGCCATTGCAGGATTTTAAGTAGGGGTATAATACTTTCTGGTTTATGTTTTCAAAGATCGGTGATTGCTGTATGGAAAATGGACTATGAGGGGGCAAGAATGAGAGATGAAAGCCAATGAAAAAGCTGTGGCAGTAGTCCGTTCAACAGGCTTGCTCCAGGTGGCATAGACTAGGGTTACAGTAATGGAGATGATGATACATCAATGTATATAGCACATGTTGTATGAAGGCACTGACAGAACTTGCTAATAAACTGATAGGCAGTTGTAAGGGTAAAAAGTAGAATCTACGATAATGCCTATGGTGGTGCCATTTATTGCAATGGAGAAGACAAGGAAGAAATTGGAGGCATAGAAGAATGCAGGGTCCCCTGAGGTAAGAAACTGTCTCTCCCCAGCTCACACAGAGCGGCAGATGTAGAACTGGGCAGAAGGAGAGAGAAAAGATGTGAGCACCATATAATACAAACACTAGTCCAATCCAAAGGGCTAGAGTCACAGCTCTGACCTATGCTGGGGGCAGGAAAGAAAAGAACTTGGAACCAACTAAGCTACTGAAGTTTAAAAATGAATAGCTTGAGTCTTGAAAACTGAAATGCGATCATTGAAAGTGGCTTGGAAAGTTATGGAATTGGACCAAGATACTGTTCAGGAAGGTACAACTCAAGGGGAAACGTGGTTGATAGAGCACAGCTGAAAGCGGTAAATAGGAAAAAGAAAACTCTTAGGTTTATTCAAGTTTTTCTGAATACTCAATAGCAAGGTACCAAAAGTAACTCGAGAAGAGGAAGTGGTCAATTGGATCAAAAGCTGCTGAGGTGTTTAATAGAGAAGCTGGAGAACTGACTTTAGCAATCAATATGGCAGCGGTTAAATTGCTTTGATACATATCAATCATTTCATTAAACAGTAGAGACACAAAATCCATATTGGAGTGAGATGAAAGGAGTACAGGAAGTGAGGAAATAAAAAATTAGGCAGTCTTTCAAGGTTTGCCACAAACACAAGAAAAAAACAAGAACAGGCCATTTTTAATAATGGCAACTTCATCCTTAGCATGCTTCACAGAAATATCACTATTATTCTTCAGCAATCCTCAGCAACCAAAGTATAATAGTGCAGGAAAAAGTAATTTTCAAATAGAATTTTTTTCCTTACCTTCACTGATTGAATTTAATGTGTCTTGTTTTCCATCTCCTTGTGACTGACCTGGATCCAGTGAAGTCTGAGAAAGGCTAACTTCAGCTGATAACTGGTCAAGACTTTGATAACTTTTTCTGTAAAACAAGGGTATAATACTACTTGAATTTCTTCTCACACACACAAAAATAATTTCTAGAGATATTCTTTTCTGGTTTTCTTCAATTTATTGAGTATCTGATTAATTTCTCCCCAATTTTTCCTCTAAATTTTATCAAGGCTGCAATAGGATCTCCATTATACTTTACCTCAACCCTTTTAAATCTCTGTCTGTTTAATCCACTGAAAATGGAAAAGAAAACAATTTTTCAAACAAATTTAAATCCTTACACCAATTTCTGAGTATCCAGTTGGTTAGGAAATAGGGAATTCTGGTTATTAGTTGTCAAAAGAGCAGAAAAATCTACAGATTATACTTAACGCAGAATCAAAATTGACATTATCATAATCTAGTGTCTCCTAAGCACTTAAGAATTCGTCAATGCCTTGATATTTTACAAGTGGTTATTATAACAAATTATTATAAATTCCTGTAATTTAGAAACTTAAAAAAAGTGCTGTGTAATAAAATACCTGTTTTGTGTTAATATACCATTAAAATAATTAACCTCT